AACATAAGAGGATAATTAGAATACCTTCCAGCAAACTTTTATCAAGCGTTCAAATTGGATCTCTGCTTTTTCACCAGCACGAAGTCCGATAAGTTTACTGTCAAATTGAAATGCCCGATGGGAGATGAACAGTTTCACACGAGGCCGATAACGGAAAAATGACTTCTCTTAGTTTGCAAAGTAACTATCGCGGTTATAAATTTTTATCTTGCTTATACAAATGCATGTAAAATGAAATTATTACAGAAATATTGACTACTTAAATTATTATCTTCGTTCACAGAGAAGTTGTCGGGTATGAAATGAAAGCTCTCTGACTGTGGATATCCCGCAGGAGAACTGCGAGGAACGCGTGCTCGCGTCGAAAATCCTGGGTTGTGCGAGTGTAGCGGCATTACCCAGAAATAGCAGCTAAATTATTATAGGTTTCTGGGTCGTTACCATCCGGGGTCCCCGTATTGATAACTGTCGAACTTAAGGAGTATGGAAAAGAGAGTAGGATTACGGTGAATTGCGAAAATGACAATCAATTCAATTTTGGCGAAAGAACTGGTCGCCGCTGTGGGAAAAGTATGATACGTAAGTTCCCCAGATGTAAGCTGGAAGGAGGGAAAAAATTCAATTATCCTTGTTGGTAATTACAACCACGCGTGTGGGTTGTGAAGGGTATAAAACGCACGTGCTTCGCACATGGCCTAAGCGTATTCATTTGAAATGCTTGCCCAAAAACTTGTAAGCTCGCTCAGACTATTTTGCATTAGAAATCTGTTGTTTCGAAATTTCTTCGAAATGGCCAAATAATATAATGAATGCTGAAAGGTGTAACAGTTCCGAACCTGGAAAGGTCGAAATTTATATTACTGTTAGTATTTTTTTCCAATCAAAAATAATTTACAATGAGTCACGTTGGCATTATCTTTATGTTTAGAAATTTCTAACCAACCACGTCGTTTTCGAAGTATTTTCAATTGTAGATTGCCATAATGTTGATCTACCCTAGATTCGCCACTGAATGATAACTCTGTATAATCATTAGCTGCTTTATCAAACCAAGAATGATTTAATATGTATATAAAAAATCATGAAGGACTCTACTTTAGTGAAATATCATTCCTTGTTTAATTTATTTGAAACTGAAACTTATTCTGTTTACAACCTTCTGTTGTAGCGTACGTTGTCTTACGGAGAAAGGATTGGTGAGTGGGAATCGTCCACCATCATGAATCCATGATAGTTTGATATTGTTTTGGGGGCGGTGGAGGGGTTCTTTAAAGCTTTGTCATTACCACGTTGAAATGCTTTTGTTAGAAAATGTTTTCGAGTTGATCTTTAGAATGCGAAATTACATTCAAAGAAATATTTTTGCACAACGGTATAGGACAAATAAAATCAGTCAGCTGTTGTCCGTTATTTCTCCTTCTAATCCACAACTCTTGACGACTGTCTTAGTCACGCGGTACACTAACCTGCGCGAATTTTTGCTCATGACTTAGGACTTTGGCTTTGTGGCTTTGAATGTCAGATCAATTTTAACGAACAGTTTGATTACCGTTCTTCATACCCAATTCTGCTAGCTATTAATTGTAATGCTTACATAGCTGGGGTGGTGGGGTGGTATGATTGAAAACCATTGAAAACTCTGTAAAAGAACCATTGCTTCAATAACAACGATGATGCAAGTAGATGTCCAATTCAAGGACACGTTTTAAAATTCAAAATGGCGGCAAATGTGCTGTGCTCCGTGTTGTCTCCGAAAATCTTTGTAAAAGCCAAGGTTCTTGTAGTTCTCTAAAGTGTAAATGCTGCCGTAATCGGCATTTTCGTTTTCCAAACCGAAATTAACGACTAATAATTCCACTGAACTTCGCTGTCGATTTCCAAAGTCGTAATTTTTATTTTCATGTATTTTTAAGACACGTAAAATTTATCTTATAACTATCTTATTCTTTGTAAATCTTCGACACAATCAGCGAGACAATATATTTAGTATGAGAGAACGCAACAGGAGGTTAGATGTCCTGTGGTGCAGCAAGTGAAATGCGCCGCCGATCAATATATATGAATATGGTCGTCATTTTTCAGCGAACCAGCCGTCTCAGAAGAACTGCTCATCTTAAAATCAGCCAACGTTTAGAATTTGCATGAATCAGTAGCTAATTTCTAATCCCCAAAGAGGCATAGATGCTATTGAATGAATTTCGTGCTTGAAACTTGCAATAAACAGTTGTCGCAATTCGTATGTATTATTGTTTTCAAATAATTTTGAAGATATTTTGGAGATCAATTACTGCTAAATCATGCTAATTTAAAACGCCGGCTGCATGAGCAGTTTTGAGACACCCCTGTAGAGACGGACATCTACTGTTCATCATTATTTTAGATGTTTTCTTAAATATAAGATATTCGAAAATCTCTACATTAAGGAGATTTTCGTGAGCAATAAATTCTTCATTGAATTAAATTGTTGCAAAAATGTCATTTTGCCGCCAATTTGTCAATTTCAACGTTTGATTCGTTAGATCATCGACAGTTTTAAATACTTTAATTTAGTCCAAATTAGTGTGCAATTATGACTTCTCGTCCCATAAAATGGCAAACC